AAGGTTTACAAACTCTTTTGGACCATTATTGACAAAGGTACTGCCAATGGTAATTTGTAAACATGATTTGATTTATTTTTCAAATAAACCTTCAAATAAACTGAAGAATAAAAAATTAATTCTTCTATCACATTATACATCGCATTTAATTATTTCAATATTGTATTGACATTTGTTCATTGACCAATATACTCCAATGCCGATTATTTTCAAGGGCCAACTTGTTATTTGAGAAATTAAGGTTTTATTCCGAAATTTATTTTTACCAGCCCGCGTAACTTTTTTCCAACTACTTTTGGATGAATTATGTTATACAGATAAATTTAAAGGACATCAAAGAAGGCTTAAGGCAAATCTTATTTAAACCCGAACATTCATTTAGGCGCTACAGTACATGATATTTGGTCGTCATCTTGAAAGGCAAATACTTTTCGGTGAAATATGTTAAATAGATAAATTTTAAGGGCTTCGAGAAGAAGACTTTCGCCGAGTTTCATTGCAATTAGTAAATCGTCGTAGTCGCTACAGTCTATCGAATTCCTGTGTGAGGATCATCTTCGTATATCTTGATCGTAGTATATATTGTTAATAAATCTAAAAAAAATCGGTGCAGTCTTCTCAAAACAAAGCCGCGGACGACATAAACGATGTGAACCGATCGCTAATCTAAAAGGACAAAAAAAAATTTCAAAATATGAGAAATGTAACATATAATCCTTTTATAGATAGTTGGTGACCTAAAAAGTGGCCCATTAAAATTTCAATCAGTTTCAGCAGATCTTGGGTGGGTTAACAAATAGTTACAGCATAACATTATTTATAGTTTAAATCAATGCCTATGTTTGTTATTGCTTAATAATGCTTTTGATAATTCAGTTAACTACCTTTCTTTATCACTGGATTAATTTAGTTTAAACCAGTTTGATGTTAGTTATAAATGCCTTTAAAAAATGGCTTTGATCAATTCTTTGAAATTCATAAATATTTAGACTATGGAATACACTTCCCGGTATTCCACCGCTACATTTTTTTTTTCATTTTATAACATTTTTATATTCTTTCAAGTAATAATCATCAAATTTTGCGCAGCTCCGCTCTAAGCCCAGTTTTTTTTTTATTATTTCATGAAACATAAAGTAAAGTTTTAGAATACAATTTACTTTATCTTATGAAAACATTATGAATTATATAATAAAATGTATACAGGTGTGAAAGACAATGTAGCCCTATTTACATATGAAAATTCTCAGAAAATGATTAATTTTTTTTAAAGACGAAATGTGTCATAGCTGAAGCATATTTTCTAGACCTGATAACTACTATAGAATTGATAAGGAAACCGGGAGACTGAATAATGTTATTTGTTTGCTTCGAAAACCTAATGAGCGAAAAGTTAAGGATATAATACGTTAGAGGTTCCCAGAAGTGGCCTGAGAATAGAGAACCTGTTGTATTTCATATGTGCTGAATTAGTGAGCAGGAATTAAATTGTTAATTTCTGTAGCGTAATGAAAACAAAACAAAATAACGATGTATTTACAAGAAAACAGCAAAGATGACCTGAGAGGTTCTGCATAATTTATCAATAATTGGTGAATTAGGAATTTCCATGAGGGGAACTCCAGAATTTCCAGAACCTGCCCTATTACTTGCTGGTATTCCAGGAAGATGCTGGTTTTTCCAGTACAACAACAAGGAGCTTCCAGAGCCTGTTCCTAAGGGGTGGTTGACCCTTTGGCTTAAAACGGGAACATAAATTAAGGGTACGGTGAATATTAAATTATCTTTTAAAAATTCAAACCATATGCATTTTAAAATGTTATCAATTCTTTGAATAATGAATAATTTATCATAAATTTTACGTAAACCAGTATTTGTGATATCATAAAAGAACTTCTATACCATCTATTTTTGTTTACACATCTTATTTTAATTATAAAGGACATCCGAAATACAAAAATTTAATTGAGAACACCAGGGCTGAAACTAGAATTTGTTCCGGAATGTAGCTTAATTTTGTCTCAAGTTGTTTTCCCAACATTGTCTTTTAACGATCCTCAGGACGAATCTCAGTTTTTTCATTAGCAAACATCAACTCAACTCATATGGACTTGAAACTTAAAATGCTGAAATTAAATAATTTTTTTTTTCTTTTCATTTCTATATTTGCACCAGTCCAAATGTGCTGAAAAATAATGTATGATAAATGTTATTTTGTACACGGAGATATGGAAAGTTATGAACTTTTTAAAATAAAAGTTTGAGTATGTTAAAGGTTGCCTGAATAAAAGACAATCGTAATAGTGGGTAAATATTTTATTGACATCGTATTTACGGTTAGTCATAAATAAATTAAAATAAACAAAGAAATATTACCAAAAAGAATTTTGTTTTCTCTTATTTTTTTCTATTCACATAGTTACTAACGAACGTCATAATAAGCAATTGTGATGTTGATCACAAACAAGCTAATAGTATTTCAGGCATGAAGAAAAATGGTACCAGCAGCTTCTATTCCCAGTCTTGAGTCCCTTGATTCACCAAAGGAGGCCTCTCATCCAGCTCTTTTTATTCGATTTCGAAAATGATTGTTGACCCTAAAGATTTTGTTAACCAGTCTTTTTTTTTTTATTTATGATATTTACAACTGTATTATTAAATAAATACATTTAGTAAATTTGATAACAGAAAATAATAACATTAAATCACTTGTTGAGAAACTAACCACTGGTAGCACTCTAAAGAGAAATGTATATACTATAGGAGATCTCGAGGCCATCTTTTTTTTCAGACGCCTCGGAGGGTTATTAGGGATAGAAGACGTAGCAAGGTTAGATACGAGTGGATTCAGAAGGTTCTGAAGTTTATTATGGAAGGATTTGTATCTGGATTGGGCCAAATCGGAAACATAAGAAACATTAAGGTCGTTATGGATTATATTATTGGTGACAAAGTAAAGAGCATTGAGGATTTTTCGAAGGATTTTTGATTGGAAGGATTGGATACGAGAGGAATTCGATGGCTTAGTGGAGCCCCACTGCTCAACTCCGTAAGTCCAAATAGGTCTTATTGTAGTCATGTGTATGAGTCTTTTGTAATTAACTGGAAGCTTAGAGCGTTTGTCTAGTAAGTGTTGGAGTAGTCGAAAACGTCGAGCGGTTTCTTGTCGTTTCAGTTTTGAGGATTCCAAGTTAGACGTTTGTCCAAGTGGAGTCCAAGGTATCGGATTTGTTCAACAGAGATAAGTGGGGTACTATTTAAGTGTACTGTAGGACAGGAGGTCATAGGTTTATAGCGAAGCATAAAGATGGTTTGGTGTAATTTATTAGAATTTAACCAGTCTTTTGTAATGTTTTTTAATAATGGGGAATTATATCGGCATAAATTGTGTATATGTTGGTTGTTGTAAGTAGATATGTAGAGTTTATTTATGTATATTTATGTATTAGGGAACGTGGACAGTGAACTATTAATATTTAAATTATGATATTTTTTCAAATTTAAATATTATAATTTATGCGATTCCTTCTTTTTTTTTCTTAAACCTAAATCTGGAAGGCTTATGGGTTTAAGTAGGTATGCGTATGTTTTTATTGCGTATGCTTATTATCAGAAAAATAAGAGTAGGGTAATTTCAAATGTTTTTTAAAATCTTTTGTTTATTTAGATGTGAAGGCAAATAATTAATTATCATAACTAAATATGTTTCAGTTATCGGTTCTTATTCACCAGAATACAAGACCAATAAAAAACACAAAGTTTTTTGTTGTTCTGTCTGAAGTTGGACGATGATCACTATGAGCGTTCTTGTATATTTTTGGCAATCAATGTTGTAATGGTCTTCTATTTTTCTAATGATGACTAAAATCAAAGTATCCTAAGCCTCTGAATGCCAGGAAACCATCGAGCAACCAATCACATAACCATTACCTTTCTAATATCACGTCCTTGTAAACTTCATCAAGGCACATCACAATGGGAAAAGAACACTTGTACTTATCTAATGGCCATGGCAATGGTGTTGAAGTCCATCTTCCAACAATTTCATCGGGTTTAATGACTAAATGCAAATCCTGTCCTTCTAATGGCGTTAATAATGGACTCTAAACTGACTCATACGTGACTTTTGGAAACTGATATCGTGTCTAGAATTCAAGCATCCTTTAATGATGGAAGATAATTGATTTGCTTTCCCTAAATCAGAACACATCACAGCGGCGCAAACGCTTTGTTCCTAGTACCTAACTATTATTTGAGAATGACTCGTCGCAGAACTCTCCAAACTGCTAATCGCTAATCACAGACCATGGATTAAGCTTCCGATTCAAACATTATAAACCTTTGCAGCAGTTTGAGATGGTCACAGAACAGGGTTTAACTTTATATTACTATTTAAGTAATAAGCAATACCCAGATTTTGTTTGCAACATTTTTCTATCTATACGAATAAGTGTATACAGATGCAATTAATAATTTTATATTGTATATTTGTTGATAAATGCATATAGCTGTATATTTTGATCTTTTCAATTAAAAAGTAATAATACTGATTATAAATAATGAATTAAAATGGAACGTTGCTGATGAAATTTAATTCTACAATTGTAGGTTGATTTTAAATAAAACAACACTACTACCTTAAATTTCAAGAAAATAAAAATTTAAAATAAAAAAATCGCACGAAGAACATAGTTTTTTTAAATCAACTTATAGATGAATATATCTAGCTTCTACCGAAATAGAAGTGGAAAATGTTGACTATCAAGGGCCTTCTTCCTGTTCTAGTAATTGATCTAAAATTATTTAATAACACGAGAGGCTTTGGGAGGTTAATGATTTAATGCGAGAGCAGATTGGCTGTAATATGAAAAACACAAGGGCGTTTCAGAATAAAATACAATTTCGGAATCGCCGCACCATCGAAGACGTGTAATCATGGTTAGGACCCTCGATTAATATCAGTATGAAAAAAGAAAAAGAGAGAAGAATATTAAAAAAAGATGAGACGAAGAATCAGCCCCCAGTGTGCAAATTACAGGGCTCTGAGTGGTGGGGAGGGGGTTGGGGACTATATATCCACCGCCGGGCCTAACCAGGCATTGAAGTCTCCCAAGATGCGTGTTATCTTCGCTTGCCTCCTCTTCGTCGGCTTGGCTCTTGCCATGCCAGACACCTCCAAGACCGAAACCAAGAAAAACGAGTACACGACCAAGTATGACAACATCGACTTGGATGAGATCCTCAACAACACCAGACTCTTGGACAAATATTTCAACTGCCTCGTTGAGAAGGACAAGTGTACTACAGATGGAAAAGAACTCAAAGGTAAACTATACTTATATAGTAATGGATTATATATAAATTTTAAATTTTTAAAAAGTATTTATTCATTTGTGGGAAGTTGGCTCTATAGAAAATAGAATCTATTTCCTCCTTTTATTATTCCTTTTATTATTCGTTATATGATATTGCCAAGTCCTTTCTAACACAACATTGTATTCTTGTAGCCACTTTCAACATTTCACTGACATTAAATGCTTCTTGAATAAGCATTAGATAACATAAAATTTCTCAACAATCTATGCTTGGACCGGTAAAAATTATTTATATGGGCTTATATGAAATACGGACATTTTTCATTTTTAAAAATGAGAAAACCCCCATTTTCTAGAAACTCTCTGAAACCAAACTGTCTGATAGTTCAGGCGGCCAAAGATCTACAAGGTCTGTAGAGACAACCGAAAAAAAAGAATTATAAAAAAATATATTTTTCGCTTTGATGCATCATTTAAGAATTATAGGTGAAAAACAAAAAAATATCAACAAACTTTTTTTGGCTGTAAAAAGTTTTCCCTTGGTGACCTGTGTTAGTAATGTTGTTTTTATGTCTAAACCCATATATACAAGTTAAAAAAATAAAAACTTCTCACGTTTTTTGCAATGGATTTCCCGTTCCGATCCTCAAATTACTGGCCTAATATTCTTTATATCAGCCGCCATATTTTAAAGCAGCGATTCTGGAACGGCAGACAAGGTTTTTTTTACTCTGAATAACACACATTTTCGTAATTTGCAATCAAATCTTCACCTACAATGAGGTCGATTTTTGGACCCTGGCTCCTTGGCTAATGTGTACAATTGTGATATATCTAATTGTTTTGTTCAGATATTTTCATCCGCCTTTCAAATGAAGCCAATCATTTGTTCTTCTCCAGATATCAAGAAGTGTGTGATGTATTTTCATGTGATATCTGTTTAGGTATTTCAAGCAAGTTTGAAAATTTACCAAATCTAATTTAAATTTATATTATTATGTACTTGATGTATTCATACTAATACAGTTGTAAATATCATAATAAAAGTTTTAAAAAAATAAATAAATGAATTAAATTTTAATCTGTTTATTAATTTTAATCAAAATACTGCAAGTGCTTTTATCAGTTGTACCAACTATTAAAAAATAATTTTATATCTTATCCATTGACTGTAAATTTTGTTTATACAAATATTACTTAAGTATTTAATATTTATTTAATGTAAGAGCCATAGGCGCAGACTTCGGCGGGTGAGGAGAGCAATTACCCCGCCAATAAACATAGAGAGGGGCGATAATAACGTTCCTCCCTCCCATTCCCCCGCAATATTTCGTAGAAAAATAATAAAATCAAAATTAATAACAATTAATCTACATGAACAAATAAAATATTTGAACTAAAACTATTTAAGAAAATAGTAAAAGTCTACTAGATGGCTAAACTGTGCCCTTGAATTAGGTACGCGAGTAATTTACCACGCCCTACTTCCCTATTATTGAATTGTTATTCATATCCAAAAATAACTTTATTTAGTAGCATATCCTAGGATGTTGTATAGTATAGTATACTATATCATATATACTTGTATATTATATATGATGTAGTAACATTTGCACCCTTCCATTGTTATGTGAATTTTGTCACATTGAAGCATCGGAGAATTTAGAGTTCATCTCAATGCTTCAAACCTTTAAATAAAAATATGTAATATATTCAATTGATTTGTTAACTAGTTTTCAAATATACCCATGACCCTTACGTTAATAAAAAATAAGTAAAAAATATATATATAATTTTTTTTTTCATATATATATATATGCATTAAATTGTTCGTTTTACAATAATTATGTTAATCACCATTTATAATTTAAATGCCCAAGTATTTTATTAATGGGATGTCCATCGCTCCCTCCCCTTCATCCAGATTGAAAAGCCTATGGCCAGAGCATCTTATTATTTCAGCAATAATAATAATTTTCCTGGCTTACGTTAAAAAAGTCCAAGTTCAATACCGATACCACTTGAATCCCCTGTTTAGAATGCTCCTATCTAAATATCATAAGTACGTATACCTTGCGTATCATATGGAATCATCATTCCACATATTTCCTTCTCAACGATAGAGTAATAACAAGCAATTTTCGCATTTTGTGTCGCTTTTATTTACTCTAGAGTCCGTTTACTTTTAGATATTGTAGGTAACTAAATCATAAACTCCTCAATGTACTTATTCATTATCATTAACGCCTCTACATCTGATTTCCTTTCTTAATACATTTAAACCAATGACTCGATCGAAAAATAAATCCTGGTCTTTTCTTCATCTTCCATTCAAATAACCACCAATACATAAATTACACAAATATCATAAATTTGTATTTTGAAACAAAAGAAAATATTCCTGTATAGATATTATTCAATCATCGCAATTCGAATCATAGTTCCAGAAAATTTTATCAGAATCATTTTAATTAATTAATATCTAAGAAAGAGTCAAAGAGTATTGAAGAAGTAACTCTTCTAAATTTCTTCTGATTTTTTTTTTTTAAATCACGGCTCTTTAAATGATTTACAGAATAGGTTAGGAGTTTTAGGAAGATAAATTGCTCGATCATTACACCCGTAAATGTTTATAGAAACTTATTTTTTAATTATAAATGGTAAACATTTTCCATTAACCATCGGTTATTCTAATTTTGATCTTTTAAATTCTACAGAGCAACATCCAGCAATAATATCTAAATCAAACAAAACTATTAATAAATTATACCATATTTCAATCGACGTTTTAGTAAGCTCAGGTTAAATGAATACGTTGCAGTTCAGGTCTGCATTACATGCACACTAAATTTTTAAATGTATCAATTTACCAAAATGTTTCTTTTCATATATATAATAGTCTATTTTATATTAATTATAATAAATATTTAACCCCTTTCATTAAACCTACAATTATTGTAACTTCATTCTAACAGTTTCATAGGTATACAAAAGTAGTTATTCGAAAATCAACACAACCCAACTTTCTTTTGAATATATATCCGTAATTATTGAGAAGAAAATATAAAAGTATCTAATAATTTGATTGATCGAGGATTAAAACCCTAGATTATTAATAAGAATTCAGTTAATAAGCATAATGGTTTTATACGCATATCATAAACTGAACTCGAAACAAACTATACAGCACGAAATTTAATTATAAGAAAAGTTAGTTGAGGGTTACAGTCATTAGAAGTTGTGTACTTCTAATGACTGCGATCCACCATAAAAATGTAAATTTGTTAGTTTATTTAAATTTACCTTCCTTGTTTCAGATATCGTACCTGACGCACTGACAACAGCCTGCTCCAAATGTAACGAAAAACAAAAAGGAGGAGTCGAAAAGGTACTCAGGTTCCTCATCGAAAAGAAGAGGGATTACTACGATGAATTGTCCAAGAAGTACGATCCAGAAGGCATCTACCTGAAGAAGTACGAAGCCGAGGCTCAGAAACGTGGAATCAAAATTTAAAGGACTACACGACCAACGGGAATGAAATAATAACTTAATTATTTAATTTTAAAAATAAAACTTCTTAATATATAATATATGGTCTTTATTCAACTTTAAAACCTATCATTTCCACTATCAACTGCAAGAATGATTATTTGGATAAGTTGTTAGTAACAATTAATGTTAAAAAAATAATTTATTTTTAATTATGGTTGTATGTCTACTTAACTGGAAGAAAATGAATGGTCCAATGGATGTTACTAAACCCCACGATAGGGCCCAGGTTCAAGTCAACCTACGGCAGATCATTGTTTATTCCGTTATGTAGGTGATGGTGATTTGGCTATGAAGTCGAGAGACCTAAGTCATAGATTTTATGGGAGATATGTTTTGTTTTTTTATGTTGAGTGACTTCTTAACACATTTCATTGAGATACAGAATATTTTCTGAGCTTTTATCTATCCTACTATAAATAGATGGAAACAACAAATTATAAACTCACCCCAAAACTGTGAAAAATAAGGAAACATAATTTTTAAAGTCTAACTTCGTAAATGTTACTACCGTTCCAGCATAAACTACTAAACTATAAACTCGTCTACTTCAGATGATTATCGCAAAATAATAAAGCTATTGCGAACCCGAACGCACCATTCCACTCATATAAACTTCAGAAAGAAAAATACATTTTCTTCGAAAATCACTTATTGGCGTTGTATTAACCCACCAAATTAAATCTGTTAAAACTTTAAAATTACTCAGAAAAACACAATCTATCAGTAATTTTACCTCAAGAGTATAAGAACATCCTGCCTCTTCTCAAAATAAAAATCTTGCATATACTTTTCTAACGTCAATCCAATTCCACTCGAAACAAAAGAAGAAATTAAGCTATTAGTTCATAATTTAGGGGGAAATATTTGGCACTTGTCTGATAGCCGATCGGGACCGACAGCTATCTGCCTCTGTTTATAACCTGAACACTGATAATTCTGAAGAGGCACTGATAATTCCTACCTTCGTATTTATATTTATTGTATTATATCCATATTATTGAAAATAAAAACAAAAACAAATGTAATATTACAAAATTATTATAGTTTGCTTCATTCAGTTGTTGGGTGTTGTATCCTTTCCACCAGTCAGAATAAATGGTGCTTCCCTCTTGTATATTGTTTTTAATACCTTCTAATAAAGTTGTTGCCTTTCTGTCGTTTATTTTGACGAAAAAACACTCGTCTGTTTCTCAGAAAACTCCGCCATACATCCATTACTCAGGTAGAACTCTCTCTACATGATTTTGTTTTTTTAGAAAAAAGACTCTCGTTAACTTCAACGACTTTTCCGTTCCCTCCAATTTTTTTTTTTTTTTTTTTGTATAACATGTTATGGGCACAAACTTCTCTTAAAAATCTGTTCCACATTATCATAGTTGCCTTGGATAGTTTCAGCTGCTCTTTGCCCCACTGTATCATTGTTAAATTATGGGATCAGCCATAAATTAATTTTAAAGCCGTTAAAAACGAAATCCTCGACCGCTCTAACCACGTTCCTTTCCCTAAGTTTTTGTTACAAGTGGTACGAAAGCATCTCTATTTCCTCTTTCTGCCTAACTTCATTTCATGACTTTCGTCACACAATATCACGTTTGGAATTATCCCAGCGTTTTGAAAATATTCAATATCCTCTTCTTCTGAAGACGGTAATTCCCAGAATGTAATAACATTCATAATTTGAAGAAAATCACACAAATGGAACAAAAATAAACAAAGGAATAACTCACAGCTTAGACGAGATAAGAATGATTTATGTGATGTAGCATTAGATTACAAGTGAGGTTTCATCCCGACCGGTATCAGACAAGTACCGAATATTTCTTCATCGGAGATCAGTGGTGAACCTGTAACAAAAGTAACAGAGAGTTCTTATTCCACATTTTTTGTTTATTATCATTCATCAACACTTGATATTTTGTCGAATTTAAATTCTTTTGTTTTTGAGCTCAAATCCCTCAGAGCTTCTATTCAAGAACTTCTGAAATTAGTAAATGATTTCGTTTAAAATCCAATCAATGGTTAAACCTACACCACTCTACCTGCAAATACTCCTTTGAAACTTTAGCAGGGAACATATTTAAAAAAATATGGTAAAGAAAAGATATATTTAACAAATAACATTTATGAATAAACTCTCGTAATATGTGCTAAACCACACAAGGTGTGTAGTAAAACAGCTGATTGTTGATGTTACATAGTGGTGATTCATGTTTGGATCGTGGGATCAATCAGCTTATCAACTCCGTTGTTTGGCAATCAGATGTATTTCCAGAAGGACAAAAATTATATTGTACAAAACTGTAATACCCCCAATTCTCACATATGTTATAAAGGCCATGGTGGTTACATTTTATGTTGAAAAAAGTTACATTTGAATTGGAAAATCATACAATTGGCTTGAAAATGTAATATATCATTTCTTAAAGATGTTTTTTATCGGTGCCCTATAATCATATAATTATTCGTCAAATCAAAAGATTTAGCCATAATTCATGAGATTATCTTCTCCTTCAGTTGGGAAGAACCGACCCGTGGGGAAATCGAATCCACTTAATACCCACTACTCTATACTCTTAATACCCAAATAACTCAACAAGTATATATGGACTCAAGAATATATGGTTCAATATATCTGGCAAAGTTGGATATCGATTGTGATAGTGATTGCTGATAAGGTATTGGTTCTCCAAAGTATTGTGTTTAGACTTGTGACTGGTGTTTATATACTTATTTTGTTATTGTTCGTGTTCTAGTGTTTTCCATTTTATTGTTCATTATGTTTTCTTGTTCCTTTTTTCTAGTTTTCCTTTGTAAATAAGTTTTTAGTTTTAAGTAAGGTTAAGTGGAATTACGAGTTCGTCATCTTCTCGTAGTTGAAGACTTTCTGGACTTTAATCGTTCCTACGAGAGCTTAAACTTATAACAGAGAACTTGTATACAAGTTTCATTGGACAATAATAGAAAGGTAATCTTCATTTAATAAACGTAGCTAGTTAACCTCTAAACTGTAGTGTAAACTGTAACATAAATTGAAATCATTTTGTAGTGTTTACTACTTTCTTACAGTATGGTTGACCCAATTGTAATTGATATGGAAGAGGAGAGTTCCCAAAAGGTTTCCAAGCGAAATGCCAAACGGGCAAGAAAGGGTTCTCTTGATTTGGAGACAAATTCGGAGGAGGCTGCAGCTAAAAGTTTACTACAATCGGCCTTACAAATCCAGGAGAATCTTAGAGTTTATGTTCAACGGGCAGATAATGGGTTGAATATTAAGGTACAAAATTATATAAATAGAAAAATTCTAACCTTGATAGATATCATTGAAACCCTAGATGACAAAAGTAAAAAGGCACACACAAATGAAGACATTTCTGAGCTCATCCAAAAAGCGGTTCATGAGTCACTTAAGACTCCTAGTATTCATGAGATGATTGCTCGACTTGTAATAGAAAAAACGGTGCCTAAAATTATTGCGGGACTTACGGAAGCTCGAGTGGAACCACAACCACAAATCTTAGCCAAAGCCGGTCCTTCAAGTGAAGCGCAAGCAGATATCAGAGAAGCAAGCCCGGCTTGACCCTCAGCGGCTACTGAACCCTACAAAGTCGTAGTCAGTAAAAGAAGCCGCAAGAGGACCAAAGCAGCTAACAAGGTAGCCAGTAATTTAAATAACCCGATTGAGCCGACCAGTCATGCATCTCCTGAAGATTCAGCCCAATTACGAAGTAAGCCAAGGACAATGGCAGATATCGTAAAATCTCTGCCATTGAAGCCGGCAGAGATATCTAACTCTAAACCCACCTACGTCACAATTAGTGGGTCCGGTAAAAGTCCCGTGGAAATCATCAGTGGGCTGCCATCTCCTACTGAAATAGGAGTTAATGCCTCCATAGTACGTGCTACTAAGGGAGGCTCGGTCTTAGTTCGGATGGAAGATAGCTCCCAAGCGGCGAAAGTTATTGGGTGGCAGGGTCTACGAGAAGTAGGACTAGAGGCCAAGCTTGCACTTAAGAAACGACCTAGGCTTGAAATTAAAGGTGTGCCCAATTCATGGACTGCGGAGACATTAATTACGCTTTTACGGGTAAAGCTAATTGATAAATCGATTCCAGCTTCGCTCGTAAACGATGGACTTCGGCCTGTTTTTTCTTCTACAGCAAGGAATGGAATAACTAAAAACTGGGTGCTGGAAGTGCACCCAACCCTGCGATTCCATCTATTAGACATGGCATGCTTGAATGGAGGATGGTGGTCAATGACCTTTGAAGATAACCTCGACGCCCCCCGTTGTACCAAGTGTCAGGACTACGGGCACTCTAAGGCCACATGTCCATCAGATGCACTGGTCTGCATCTGGTGTGCAGGTACTGGTCATTTTCTCAAGGAGTGCCCCAAAAAACTAGCTCAGGCAGCGCCGACATGCATCCACTGTGTGAGGGCAAAGGCCCATCCCAGGCACACTAAGCATAAGGCGGGCAGTCGTGATTGTCCTGTGCATTTAAATTGGTCACAAAAAATGGCGATGAGGACTTCTTATGAGTAAGATCTCCATCCTTCAGCTCAATATTGGCCGCCGGCGTCTAGTTGCGGAAGAGCTACGCTCCCTCTCACAAAGCTACGACATCATGGCAGTCCAGGAACCGAGCTGCTGGGGAAACAAGGTCACGGGGTTTGGTCTCACATCGAGGGTTATAGCCTTGAGCAGTGGAGAGAGGAGGCCCAGGGCTGCTATTGTGGTTAACAACCCGAACCTCGATGTGATGGATCTGAGGCAGTTTACCATGGCGGATTGTGTTGCTTGTCATATCAGATGGAACAATGTTGCCTTTACGCTGGTCTCATCATATTTACCGGACGGGGGCGATATTGACGAAGACATATCCGCCATGGAGATGATAACGGCTAGCACCAGGAACGTGATCATATGCTCAGATACCAACTCCTGGAACACGGTCTGGGGATCTAATCGAACTAATAGAAGGGACGCTAAGCTCGGTGAATTTATTGCCCGAAACCAATTAGTGGTTATGAACGATC